CTGCTGCCCGCGGGGTTGGGGGATAGCGAAGTAGAGCTCTGCTAGCTCGATCAAGGCCTACGTAAATGAAATCAGTCAATAAGGATTCGCATGAGAAGATATTGTGATAGTATGGCATGGTCTGCTCCGCAAGCCCAATAAAGAAGGCAGTTCCCAATGTTGAGAACGACGTCGCTCGAAAGAGACAGGATGGACAGGCCATAGTACGGTATGCACGGAGCAAGCGCATGACACGCGCGAGATTGTTTGTGGTCACCAGCCTGATTTCCGCGCACCTTTCGTACTTCCCTCACCGCAAGCACTCCGCCCCTGCTTTGGTATGTTCCGCAGAGGCGTACCCATGCCTCCCGCATCGGTTTGCTCTTGTCACCCTGCGCGCGCTGGCATGTTCGCACCGCCAGTTGTGCGAAGTTCAATGTTTGATCCGTCGTAAGTACGACTTCATCTGGTTCACCATTCGCTCTCGGCAATGTGAGTGGTGTTGGCTGGGCGGCAGAGACAAGGGATGGCCGCGCGGTGGTGATTTGCGAGACGAATTGGGTTATGAAAGTGCGCGCGGCTAGGATGTTGCCATTCTGGAGGTAGCTATTCGCGGCCGCGCAGGGAATAGCTCAAATCAGTTTCTCCACGTACGGGTTGAGGCGAAGCGAACAGGGATCGGATGGCCGAAGGCAGGGATTGATACACGGTTTACTCACGGTATTGTTCCACGGATAGCAAATGCACCCGCCGTGTGGTCGGGCCCTGCCCACTCTACAAACATCTGGGCGAGCAGACGCGCGCTATCGCGCTTTCCTGCGGCCAGAAGATGCGGTTCTGCCGCCTCGAATGCACCCTCTGCGTGTGCGGAAATGGTGTGGCGATATAAGCATCCGGAAAATTAACGATTGCGAGACTCACCCTTGTAGAACAATTCGCCGACATAGTGGTGCAAGTCAGGGTCGCCTGCTGGACACGGTCCATGCTTCGACCAACTTCATCACGTCATGAACACAAGGCGCCGAGGGCGAGCACACTCAGAGCAGTGCACTCACGCGATGGCCTTGTCGACGGTGGTCTTCCGCCATGCACCTGAAGGCCCCGTCAACGCAATGAGCTGCGTTATGCGACCTGTGCAATGTTGGAGACGAGGTATAAGTTAGCAGCCGAATCATAGGTATTGCAGATGTCTGCAGTAGCAACGAGATACGATCCTTACCTCGGCTTTCCTCGTTCACCTGCTCGCCCTTGTTCTCATATACATCCAGCAGGAAACTGGCCAAGTCCGTTCCACTACCTTGTTGTCCCGCCTTGAGCAGCTCTTTGGCTGATTGGAAAAGCACATCTATTGCGGTATCGAACTGCTGAGACTTTGAGTACCTCGAGGCGAATGTGCGTGCTTTCTGGTGTGCCTCGTACGCCTGTCCAGACGCAATGAGAGGTAAGATAGCGTTCAACGCGCGGGAGGATGAAGCGGCGGATGCAGGAGCCATCCCAGTGCAGTCAGTGCAAATTGAAGGTCTCAAATTCTGAGGTTGGTGTCGAGATGGTGATTCCAGCTGTGGCGGAGATGCGCAACGCGGCGTTCATGTTCCTCTTCCTCCAGCATCTCAGCGCTCACTCAGCTGCAACCTCCATCCATCCCGGTGCATCGACAGCTACAGCCATCTAAATCATGCTGTGTTGAAGTTTGTTCTGCGTTTTGACCTGCCTAGTCTGCCAGCGCCGACCTCAGGTCCGTATCCACCTTGCAGGCAGACCGAGAATACTTTGGTCACTCAGAGACATCCTCGATCCTGTGTCATGCCCATTTGCACGAGCTGCACTCATCCAACGCCGTTCCTTTACACCATCTATAACTCCACGCACAACCTGCGCCTCGAGCAATGTGTCAGTCATTCTATATGTCTTTTCCGGCGACACATCAGCATACTCATGCTACTTGTGGGGCTGTAGACGGCGTGTCATGCCTTCGCGGACCCATATGTCGAGCATGACACCTTGACACTACTGCTCGACCTGATACTCCTCAAGAGAGACGTCTATCGACATCTACTCTTTAATCGAGGCCTGGGAGCGCGTAAAGCAGGACAGGGCACAGGAACAGGTCCAGATGCTGATGCTCCAACGGGTGCTGCCAGCACGGCGCGTCCAGTAGCACCATCCAATGAAAACGATACAGCATACGAGTGGGAAAGGACGAAGGTTTGTTCGTAACTGACATGGACATCTCCGGGGGTCCTCTCGGTCATAGACTCGGTGCTGACTTCGACTCAGACTAGGTGGCATTTGATCCTCCAGCTGGCCACCGCACTCATCACTGTCGATGCATGTGCGTATCATCTCCTTCTCGCACTGCGAACATCTTACTAACTCGTACACACAGTCATCAGATGGACCCACTTAAGTACACTCGGCAATGCCTCGCTCTAGCCACAGTTGTACCAACGCTTGTCATTCTTCTATCGCAGGCTCCCGCCACCCATTCGGCGGATCAAGAGTTGACGTTACCACTTGGAACCGAGAGACTACTGCAGGCTTCCTCCGAATATTCGCAGGCTGTCTAGTCGGTGAGTTCTTCTCGCCCAAAAAATCAATTATGCTGCACAGCTTCACGCCTTCTCCCGGCGTTCTAGAGACAGCTGCCTTCCACGGAGGCGTTGTGCTCGCATGCTACATAGTGATGAAATGTCTAGGCTGGGCACGCACGATCATGCCTTCTCTCTACGCTGACCCTCAGATGCCTGGGATCCGCCGAGAATTCAGGTACGAGGGCGTACACTGACCGGATCATTCCTGCTTGTGCTCATGAGTACTCGTCTGCGCAGGTACTCGCACGTACCGCTTACGCTACTATATTCTTCGTTCACGAAGCTGTTCCTGTTATTCCTGCTATCGGTTTGGCGCCCCGCACCCACACCACAGGTGACGCATGCACAGTCGCTGCACCCGAACGCGACAACGTTCACGCACCCACTCATTGTGGGCGCGTTGGAAATATTGGACGAGGACAAGCTCGACCGCGAATGGGTCGTGCGGAACGTCCTGGGCGGGATGTCCGCAGGGTTTGGGCTCCGAGGTGAGTGCAACACCTCCCCCTCCCCCACCCCAAAATTGCAAACCAGGGCGCGTCTAGCGCGCTCCTTGACTTTTTGTATATGCTGACCGAACTGCGCTCACACCCCATCGATGTAGTCGTCCTCGACTGCCACCCCTTCTTCACAACATTATTATACTGTCGGCTGGGCCGTTAAGACCGCAGTCGCCGGGCTCGTGAGCGACTGGGTCGGGGTCGGACTCGGTGGAGACACCGCCGGGGAAATCTGGCTAGCATACAGTATCCCGTAGGCACTAATCCTACGCAAGCATCTATTTTAGCAAAAGACAGCTGTAACGTTGTATTGCTCCAGGGATCACATTAACACGCGGGTCGTCAATAGACACTACAGGATAAAGGGAAAGATGGAGGTCCTGTTCTGGGGGTAGGCCTTCCCGAACTCCTTCTTGTATGCCTTGTGCTTCTTTTGCGCCCACACAATCATGATCCACGTCCCCACTGCCACAAAGAGCCACGCTGGAGTACGGGAGAGCATGAGGACTTTTTCAGACTCAGAGTAGGGTTGAAGCAGGCGACGCACCAGAGTAGCTGCCCGTCATGGTCGCGATCGTGACCCAGCTGAGCGTCTCGAAAAAGTAGTTTGGACACGATACGAGCGCGAAGCCGTACCCGTATGGTATCGCGCGCGCCTTGGTCCCTGGCGGACGGAGCGCGCGGAGGGCAAGGTGGCAGTGTAGATTGGACAGCTCCGCGAACTGCATACCACGGTGTCAGGACAAACGCAGAAGATGATGGCGTAAAGGAACATACAAGCCAGAGCGCGATGCCTCCGAGAAGGAAGCTGGGCTCGTTGCGCCTCGTTCCTAGGATGTGGGGCGAGCTGGCCGAGTATGCCGGGCTGTAGATCGGAAAGGCGAGGAAGAGGCCGCTGAGGAACCAGTAGTGTGCAGCACTGTGCAAGTTCTGAGGGACAAGGACGCGTGACAGTGCAACGGGGCGTACTTTCTTATGAGGTTGCTGAAGGGCATCGTGCCGTGCGAGAAACGGTGCACAAATACTGTTTCGAGTAGTCGCTTGATGAAGTGCAGCATCACAAGGGTGTAGACGTATCTTGCAGTTTGAATTAAGTGTGCACGTAAGCTTCCAGCCAAGAACAGACGCACTCTTGCAACATGCTGTGTTGCACAGATCCCCCGTAGAAGAGTTTTGGGAAGTAGTAGAATATTGGGTGAATGAATAGCGGTCCAGTCTCGATTCCAGCAATCAATCAATCCAACTGTGCCCAAAAGCATGCTGAACGGACTCACATATTCTACGAGAAAGACCGTCTGCCAGTTGACCTGGGGTCCCATGTCCTTCACAGTCAACTCGCCGCCGTCCGCGACACCAGCATCCTGCAATGATGTCTCATCACTCAAAGGTTTCTTCTCGCCTTTTGGACAGACGCGTTGTCGCGCCGTGTAGAACTAAAGAGGTGTTCCGTCAGATTTTGTCCTTTAAAACGCGTGAGCCAACTCACCCTAGGAAACTTCGCAGCGATGGCTGCCTTGACGTCAGCAACGGTCGCGCCTTCCGTGGTCTTGTCGAGGTCGATGATAATGGGGAGCCCCCGGGCAAGAGGGACGCGCCCTGCCGCAGAGACAGTGACCGACACCATTGTGCGCTGGCAAGTCTCGAGACGGGTCGGAGAGGCCTGTCAGTGAACAAGGCCGCGCTCCGTTGTTCTTCCACGTGGGCAAATTGAAGATCCTCGCTATTTCGGGATACACGAAACATAACTCTCGCGCGACATGTTCTTGTAACACGAAAATTATCACTAGGCAGATAGCATATGTCCCATGAAAGTTCACCCTCAAGCAACGTTTCGTTGAAGTCAGCGTTCTCCGAAACAACCCTAGGCATGAAGACATTTTCCCCCTGTTTCTCTTCCCATATTGGTGCTACATAGCATCAGATTATTCAAGGACCTGTGGCGCAGCGGTAGCGCGTGTGATTCCAGCCATTTATGGGCACGTCCACAAGGTCATCCGTTCAAACCGGGTCAGGTTCACTCTTTTTGGCGAAACCGTGTGCTATGCTTTTGACATCGTGTACTTTACATTGGCTATAGCTCGACCCTACATGATCACCTTTGTGCCCTGGAGACGCTTTTCTCTCAGCTGTAGCTATGTCACCTGGCAAACCCGAGTCTTGCAACGCAGCGCGCACACCAGTCCCTCATCTCTTCCACATCCTCCCCAGCTGAGCCTTCTTGAGACCCCCGACCAGAATGCCCAAGCTCGAGCTTGGCTAGGGAAGTTCAAAACACAGGAGATACCGAAAAGTACTGTGGAGCTAGCTTTCTCTAGAAGCTCGGGTCCCGGAGGTCAGGTATGTCCCTTCCACCGCAACGCGACACGAAGCTCGTATTCACGGTTGTACGCAGAACGTAAACAAAGTGAACACAAAGGCGACGTTGCGCTGTCGTGTGGATTCGGATTGGATTCCACTTTGGGCGAGGGAGCAGCTGAAGAGAACGGTATGGTTTTGACGTCGGCGCAGGGCGTAAACACTGATAACATGCGCCGCAGCCGTCGTACGTGTCCTCGACGGAATCGATCCAGATAACGTCGACGGTGCACAGGTCGCAGGCACAAAATGTCCAAGACTGCCTCGCGAAGGTGCGTCGATACCCCTAACGAATACGCGCACCGTCATTCTGACGCCCCGCTCGATCGTTCATTTCGCAGCTCCACGCCCTGATCGTCTCCGCTTCGGCTGCATCGTTCGTGAACCACCCGTCCGACCACCAAAAGGAGCGCGTCCGCGGCCTCGAGCGTGCGGAGAAGGCACGCAGGCGCACGGATAAGTTCAAGCGCAGCGCATTGAAGAAAGGCCGTGCCAAGGGCGACTGGGACTGAGGGGCCCGGAAGCTGAACATCCTCGATGCCGTGTCAGATAGGGCTCACGATAATGCGCTCAGGAGACACGGCCCACGCTCTGCCTCCACAATATTCGTCCTGCCCTCGAAGTGGAGATGTGGCTGACGCCGTGCTATCGTGTGACATCCACCGCGCCGCGAGCGGTGGCAAGGCTGCTTGCGGCTTACCGCCCATTACGACGCCAACCATGTCTCAGCCTGTATCTATATATCCAGAATGCGACACTCCATAGGCCCACTTTCCCCTGCACCATCATGCCTATTCTCCCATACCGATTATGGAGGTTCAACCGCCAGAACACTCAATCAACAGAAGCGGATGCTGGCACGCTTGCAGCGTCAGCCGCAACCCCAGCCCCAGCACGGCCCGTACTCTCACCCAGGAGAAGCGACTTTATGGCAGCTCTGCTCGAGTACATCGGGACCACTGTATTCCTGACTCTCGCATATGGCGGTACCCAAGCGGCCCAGGGAGAGAACTATGCCAGCGCGTCCACTTCCTCCGACATCGAGCGTGTGATGTATATCGCGCTGTCCTTTGGCTTCAGCCTGCTCGTGTCCGCATGGCTTTTCTTCAGAGTGACCGGCGGTCTATTCAACCCAAACGTCAGTCTTGCGTTGCTCCTCACCGGCATCATTGGTCCTGTCCGTTTTGTACTGTACTGTATCGCCCAACTATTAGGCGGAATCACCGCCGCTGCCCTCATCTTGGCTCTTACACCGGGTCCACTCGCGTCAAAGTGTGTGTTCTGCTCGTACGTTTGTTGACAGATCCTGACGCTTCTCTAGCACATTCTTGCAGCCAGGGATTAACTCAGCGCAAGGCGTGTTTATCGAGATGTTCATCACGTCTTTCCTCGTCATCGCAGTCTTGATGCTCGCTGCCGAAAAGCACAACACCACACCATTTGCTCCCGTATGTTCTCTCTGCTTCTTCGCTGTACCACACTGAATTCAATATGTATCTGCAGGTCGGCATTGGCCTTACACTATTTGTCTGCCATTTGTGAGCGCCCGCATCGCTCATTAGCTAATACCATTTCCTAACGCACGCAAGCCAGATGGGCCATATTCTACACCGGTTGCGGCATGAACACTGCGCGGTCATTCGGCCCCGCCGTGGTCACAGGCTTTCCCTACGGCTCCCAGTGGGTGGTAAGCAGACCCATACACTGTCGCCACGCATCGTGCCCCTCACCCCGACTGCTCAGTACTGGGTAGGCCCGTGTCTCGGCTCGTTCCTCGGCGCCGGCTTCTATGCACTCCTAAAACAGTACGCACCTGGCATATGGCTGCTGCGCTGTGCTCATCTGCTGCCGTTTAGCTTCCAGTACTGGCGCCTGAACCCCGGGCAGGACACGGTTGTCCACAGCGCGTCGCCGCCGGACCCACTGAAGGCTGTAAAGACAGTTGTACGGCGCTCAGCATCACGGGGAAGCGGCTCGAGGCGAGAAAATGGCGGCCCAAACAATGGTTCATTAGAGCAGAACGCACGACGAGTGAGCAGTACGGAAGGGGGCGGAGGAGCAACGAGAGTCCGGTATGACGCGCATAATGGGTCCCGTAGGAGATCTTCGGCCTTGATACGTCTCAAGCCGTGAATGATACCGCGTAGCTATGGTGGTCTTGTCGCTTAATTCTCGGACTAGTTAAATAATGATTATATCCAGCGTGGTTGGTATTATTACGAATCACGGCATGCTTGCCCATCCATTCACCGCGCGGCGCACGCTATACGCAGCTAAAGCTGGAAGCGGTCGTGTTGTCCCCGCCATTATACTGCAGCGCTTTTGGGTACTGAAACATCATAACCTATCACATCAACCGTTGATACAGAACAGGCGAAAGACGCACCTGGCATAGTGGTCGGGTAAAGCCGACGCCGTTGGTGGCATTATTGTCCGTATAGTATGCTGCGATCAAAGACGAGGGGGCTTCACCCTGTTCCACCCACTGAACGATCGCAGCGAGGATGTTGTGTTCCGGGTCGAACGAGACAGGCGGCATACCATTGGATGCTTGTTCGACGCCACCGAATGCATTTGCTCCGAAGCCTCCCTAAAGTTAATTTCACTGTTTTTTTCAACCGTTCTTGAACCGCAAGACAAAGCAACATACATAACTAGGTGCCCAGATAAATGATTGGATATGCTGTGCGAAAGACAGCACGCTCACCAATGGTTCATCCCGGGCACGGTGAAGAGGCGATAGAAATCATCGGTGTCCATTTCCGTGTGCGCCCTCGTGAAGACGTCGACCGTGTCGTGATAATGAAACGAGCCGCCTGGACTGATCAGCTGGTCCGCCCAACCAACATATTGCAGCAATTTGCCATTGTGAGGCGACCCGCGAACGCGGTGATGTTCGCGTCAATAGCCTAAGAATGTGCTGAGCAGGATGGATTGCACGAAAGTAAGTGATGGGATTGCGTACATTGGTCTGACCGGGATCTATACTATCCGCTATCTCGATGACGGAGGCGTTATATTGTTGTATGACCATGCGTATCGCTATAACAAGAAGTGTCAGTCATCATGGCAGCCCGGACAAAAGCGATTCAGTTCGTACTTGAGCACGAAGTAGCGGAACCAATCAGCCCCCTTGGGAACCGTATCCACATTGCCGTCGGGGTATTTCTCTTCTCCTCCAGGATAGTATCTCCCAAATATCCATGTCTGGTTGGTTTCGTAGTAATCGCTGTAGATGCGGTGGAAGGCTTCAAGCTGCGGGACGGTGAGGCAAGTTGACGTGTTCTGCCCGGGTCCACATGTCAACGTCTCTGGACGGAAACTGTCAGAGATAAGATGAGCTTCGTAGGACCTGTAGATACGTTTCCAAAGCCTTACTGGCAAGACCGAGGATCACTGATGATGCCGTCAGCCAGCTGATCAAAGGACATCAGCAGTGATCTGGAAGAACGTCAACGAGGACCTCACGCCGTCAAGACTGTCGCACTGCTGAGGACTCTGGATGGATAACGTCAACCCATGTATGACGGCTGATGAAATGAGCTGAATCCGAAGGTTGGACTTCTTGTGCTAGGTGCATTCCCCAGCTATTCACATGGGTCTGCCAGTTCGCGGGAGACCCGACAACCTAAACGCACTCAATAGATAGACCTGCATGCAAATTGGAATGGCTTACGACACCGTCGAAGTCGTCGGGGAACATTTGTACCTCCTTCAATCTGGGCCAGATTGAGTGTCACTTAGTTCATTCGTTGTAAGCATGGACATACCCTTGACGGCCCCTGGAAAGACGTGAGTAACTGGAATAAGACGACGAAGATGGCTTACCTGTTGAGCAACCGAGATAATACGCCTTCTGCGCGGTTTGATTGTAATACTGCTGTACGACCTCCTTACCGGCTACAACACTCAGATGTAGTGCACGCCAGGCCCAGTCAACTATTGCATTCTGGATTCTTATAAGAGAAGTCCAGCATATCGAGCATCGACTCACATCGTTACGCGGACCAGCCCAATCGCCGACATTTGCAGCGGAGGTATGGCTGGTGTCGGTCGATACTCTAGCGACTACGAATAACTATTAGAGCACGAACATGGATAACAAGATACTAGATTGCTCACATGATTGATTAACAGCAATGTATCCTAGTTCCGCCACTGTGGCTAATCGAAAAATTAGCCGCGTCTACATTCAATAATGACACGCGAGATAGAACTAACCTCCACCACCGAAGCCCCCATTCCCGACTGCTAAGAAGCGTCCGTTCCAGTCATCAGGAAGCCAAACTTCCGTTTTGCATGATGAATTAGCAGTAGTATTAGTGGTAATCGTGAGCTCCACTCGGCAGAATGCAGGAAGGGTATCCGTGTCGATGCTCGAATACTCATTTGTTATGTTGACCAGCGCATTCGCCGGGAAATAAGTCGTACCCGTCACTGTTGCGTCGGACGAGTTGTCCAGAGCGAAGGAGGAGCATAGACTTTGAGATCCAGCATGTAGAGTGGCCGCCAATGTCGTGGTGTTCAACCAAAGCGCTGACCAACTTGAATGTTGCCAAGTGCGACTGAACATGCTAACGAGCTCGACGAGAAGGAGGCAGCACTCCGACTGAGCGAATAGCCCTTTATATATGCCACGAGACATCGTCGCCAGGGGACTCT